AAAGTGATCTTTCACTTCCTTATTTTCTCTCTAATTTTATTGTTTACATCTTCTTTTAGCTTATACAACATTTTAATTATGAACTTTCTAAATTCTTTCTCTGACATTTCCTCCACTGTGTTGTCAATGGAGTCAGTTGTTGAAGCATTATTGGCTCTCAATTTTACCTATCTCCTGGAATAGTTATCACTTCTACTCTGTGAATTTCTTTCTCTTAAGAGCCCTAGGTTGGGTGAATATCCATCTATTGATGTTTTAAGTCAGTGTGTGACCACTGCTTGATCCATTATCAGCACCACTTTGAGAGGTGCCACTGAACCCTATTTACTACAATCACTTGAGAGCCAAGCCTCATATTGTTTAAACTTAGGAAAACCAAAAAGCTTGTTGATACTGTTCTCCCAGTTCCTCAAATCCAGGTATAAACTTTGTAGTAAAGTTCTGGGGTAGGTTGAAAAATAAGTTATTAAATTTAGCAAAATTGCTATAACATTAAATGAGGACTAAAAGGAGAAAAGAAGAAAGATTGGGCAAAAAAGAGAGAAAGAAAATATAGAAAAGAATAATGTACACCAAAGTAGAAAGGAGAAATGAATGGTGGCTGTTTGTGGTAGTAGCAGATAATATAAGAGGACAAATAAACAAAGATAGAAAGGTTGATTCCAATTAATGCTTTAAATAATTAGAGAACATGCATTCAGCCAGGCACTGTGGAGCATGCCTGTCATCCCAGCAACTTGGGAGGCTGAGGCAGAAGGATCACAAGTTCAAGGTCAATGTCAGCAACTTAGCAAGGTGCAAGCAACTTAGCAAGACCCTGTCTCAAAAAGTAAAAAGGGCTGGGAATGTAGCTCAGAGGTAAAGTGTCCCTGTTTTCAACCAAAAGAAAAAAAAGAAGAAGAAGAAGAAGATATACAATCAAATGGGTTAAAGATAAATTGCAATATTGGCCTTTAGGGTAATAACTGTCAATCAAGTTAGAGAATGATATATGTGATCTCAGTTGACATTAGAGTTATTTATAATAAACCATGCAAAGGTGAAGAAAATTCTTGTTGAATCTTGGTTTGGATTTCATTTGACATTTAGCAGGTGTCCATCATTCTTTGACTGTGGATCCCTCCAGAGTTGCTAGGGCACAGGAGTCACTTCCCTAGTTCCTATGGACTACCCACCAACTGGTTCTGGTTTGCCACCTCAGGGGCCTGCAGCTGACTGCTCCGAGGGTGCAGTGTTTTGTCTGTTGTGTGCAGGAATTCAGGATGCAGGCTATCATATGTGGACCATCCCTGTGCTCCTACATCATGGGTGTGGTGACCCATGCTTCCAAGCCGTCTCATACCCTTGAGCTCACAGCCTGCTAAGATTAGCAGTAACACTGGAGTAGGGCAGTGGCCCACATTGCTATGGGCTGCCTATTGCTGAGGTAGATTTGTGGCCCAAGACCACTGCAATTTGTCACAAGTGATGCCAGCTGGAATAGCAATCTGATGGACTAGGGCTATGTGTCTTACCCATGCATTAGAACTATTCCACAGGTTCCATTCACAAGAAGGCCTAAGGATAGGGACCATTAGGATCTGCTGAGTATCAGGTTTTAAATTATCCAGTACTGAGATCCAGGGCAAACTCTTGTGCTTACTGAACTGTCCTATCCCCAGCATGTGGGGTCTTACACCATGCTATGCATTGTTGAAGGCAGACTTCTCCAATCCAGGCTGATGGTAAGATGGGTTGTGCCTGAGTCTCACATCCACAAGGACCTGAATAGCTCAAGGGTGCACTAGGGTCCATGCCACAGCGGGCAGTGATGCCGGCCAAAACATAGTTCATCCCACTTGGATGCAGGTCTTTGCTTTGTGCTGGAGTAGTGCTCCCCTTCTGGAGCACTGGCCTGGTGATAACTGTGCTACCTGGGGTTGGAGAGATGGGTAGTGGAAATAACCCCTTGTCTGTCAAGGCTGGTGTTGAGCTTGGTTGTACTTAAGTCTCCCAGCTGCAAGTAGCCTGCACTGGGTGTGCCTGTGGTCCATTCTAAGGCTGGAACTGATGTAGGGCAAAACTCAAGTGTATTACTGGCACACAGGTCTCCACCAAGCGCCAGGGCTGTTCTAGAGTCTCCATCTGTGAGGTGTGGCCTGTGTATAAGGCCTTCAGTTTCTACCCCAGTGTTTGGTATCACCTCAGCAGGACTGGTACTAGACTCCAAGGCTCTCTGCTAGCTTTTGTACCCTACTTTCCAGTAAGTAAAGTCTTGTCTCCTCTTTATTGCCTAAGGAAAAGTGGTAGCGGGAGTTGGCCTCCTGGCCTAACTCAATTCCATAGGCTCAGTCCTGGGTGTTGTCCTGACAGTAGGGGTTGGGTTTTTGCCCAGCCTAGGTTTCACCATGGCAGGCCTGGTACTAGATTTTAAGTTCAAGGCCTGGACTTAATTCTCTCTCCATGTAGAGCTGCTTGGAGTTGGCAGGTGTGACAAGGGCATCTCTTTTCCTTCTTCAATGCTTTTTTTCCATTTTGTTATACTGCAGGCACCTGATTTTCTTAGCACTTGAAGGTAGTTTGGTGCATAAGTAGCTGTGAACAGTTTGGTATTTCTATAGAAAGAGATTACAGGAAAATCTTAATTCAAGTGTCATCTTGTTATGCCCCCTTTTTAAATTGAAACGTACTTCTTTACAATGTATATTATAGTAACCCAATACATGTATGTATACAGTGTACCTCAATCAAATTGGGGTAATAAGCACTTCCATCTCCTCAAATATAAATTATTTTTATGTGCTGGGAATTTCATATTTCTAGTCATTTTTAAATAGCATAAATCATTTTTTAACCAGTAGTCACTCTGCTGTGCTATAGAAAACCAGAACTGATGGCACCTAAGGCAGGGTGGAATCTTGCCATGGGTGTTGTAGCAGCTCGGGGGTTCTGGAGGGTAGGGGACATCCAATGTGAGTTCCCTTTTAGGAGACGGGCAGCCACTCTTAGCCAGCTTCCCAGATTGTACTTAAAGCTTGTAAGGACCATGGAAGTTTGTAGTTAGGATGCCAGTCTCCTGGTGCGATGGCAGTTGCTGGTATTTCCTGCTTCCCTTTTATTAGCAGTGTGGAGCTCCTCGGACTGGACACTAGGATTGAAGTTGTGATTTACTTTGTTCTTTTCTCCATGTTGCCTTTCTAATTCTCCTTGCTTTTTAGAGTTCTCATCACTTCCTTGCTCATTTCCAGAGTTCTTCTATAATCACTCTCCTTGAAATATAGGTTTTCCTTGATTGCCCTGGTTCTCTGTGGTAGAGTTGCATGCAGAGCACCTCTCTTTAGCCATGTTGGATCCTTCATCTTCAACTGGCAGGTTGTTGGTTTTGTTTTTGTTTTTGTTTTCCTTTTAGCACTCGAACTATATTGTCCTACATTCTCTTGGTCTTTTAAGTTTCTGTTGAGACGTCTGCTGCGAGGCATATTGGAACTTCCTTACAAGTCATTTGCTTTTTTTCTTTCTTTCCTTTTATTTTTTTTTTCTGATTTCAGTATCCTCTTTTTGATCTTTAACAGTTTGATTATGATATGTCATGAAAGAGTCTTATTTGGGTTTGTATCTGATTGGAATTTTTTGAACTTCACATACCTGGATATTTATCTTTCTCTAGGTTTGGAAAGTTGTCTACTGTTATTTCTTTAAATAAGGTCTTTACCAGGGCTGAGGATGTAGCTGAGTGGAAGAGCACTTGCCTGGTACATGCAAGGCTCTGGGTTCAATCGTCAGCAAAGAAAAAGAAGGAAAGAAAAGCTTTCTATTCTTTTTTCATTCTCTACTCTTTTGAGCACCACTAATTACTACGTTTGCTCTTTTGATACTATCCCATAAGTTTCCTGACCTACCTTCATTTTTTTCTTTTTTCCTCTTCTTGACTGTTCAAATAACCTATCTTCACAAATTCTTTTGCTTGATCACTTCTTCTGTTGATGCTCTGTTGAATTGTGTCATTCATTGTATTTTTCAGCTCAGGATTTCAGATTTTTTTCATTCAATTTCTGTTAAATTTATCAGAGTCCTGTCCTACCATCTTGATCTGCCCTCTCTCCCACAGTGATCTCTTTTTGGGGGGTACAAAATAAGGACTCTTTACCACTGAGCCATTTTAATTTTTCATTTTGAGATGGGGTCTTGCTAAGTTGCTCATGCTGGGCTTGAACTTGTGATCCTCCTGCCATAACCTCCCAAGTCTCTGGGATTAGGCATGCACCACCATGCCTGACATTCCCACAGTGATCTTTTATTTATTTATTTATTTATTTATTTTGCTATTGATGGACCTTTATTTTATTTATGTGTATATGGTGCTGAGAATCGAACCCAGTGCCTCACACATGCTAGGCAAGCACTCTACCACTGAGCCACAACCCCAACCCCACCACAGTGATCTTTTAAAAGCATAAATCATGCATAAAATGCTCCATTGGCTTCCATCTTGTATAAATAGTCACTCCCTGCTATAAGGTACTTACCTCATCTGTTCCTTACTACCTGTTAGATTATGTAGTCTCTTCTCACCTTGCTGCAGCCACATGCTACTTCTGACTCTTAGCTGAGCCCACAGGTCACCCTTTGGCCTCTGAGCCTTGTACTTATTGTGGCTGCTGCCCAGCATACTCTTTCCCATCCCGGCAATACCTTCCCAGAGACCTCTCCCAGCCATTTTCTCTGAAGTAGTCTGTTTCCTCAACACATTATCATTCCTGTCCACTTATTCTACTTTGTCAATTGAATTTTTGTACTGAGTATACTGCCTGAAAGTTTTCTCTCTCATTTTACTTTTTTATCATTAAAGGAACAGAGCCTTTCCCTTGCCTTTTATTCTCTCCCTTAGAACTGTGCCATGCAGGTGCTTAATAAATACTTGTTGAAAAAAGGATAGTTGATAGCAGAAATTTTTACGGCTACCTATAGGTTACCTTTTTATATTTGATGTTGTCCTTTTTTTTTTTTTTTTTTAAACCTAGAGACCCTGAAATATGGCGTCTGGCCTGCCTGAAAGTGTGGGGCAGAAGCTGTATTAAACTTGTTCCTTACTCATCATGGAGAGAGATGTTTTTAGAACGGCCTCGTGTTCGATTTGATGGTAAGTTGGACCCTAGAACCCAGGAGAAATAATGATATGTGATGTATTTGATAATTACATGATTTTAATTTTCTGTAATAAATATAAGTACTATGAGCATATTTAAAGGAAACAATAAAAATAAAGCTGGATATGTGTTATGATTGTAACTTTTAAAGTTTTATTTATGTGCTTTTAAAATTTTTTTGTTGTTAATAGGCGTGTATATCAGTAAAACTACATATATTCGTCAAGGGGAACAGTCTCTTGATGGTTTCTATAGAGCCTGGCACCAAGTGGAATATTACAGGTACAACTGTAGTAAACTGAGTGAGTGGAAAATTCTCTCTCCAAGTATTAGCTCAATAGTTATTTGGTCTGCTCTTTGTCACATTTGGTTTATCCACAAAAGCCCCTTGGTGTTTTTATCCAGTGTTATGACATAGAAACTGCGCTCAAACCAAAAGTTTAATGTAAATTATGTAATTCCTTCTGGCCTCTAAATATATTTTCAAGCTCTCCTTTTCTTTTGTCATGGCTTTACCTATTTACTTTTTCAAATAGCTTTTTTTTTTTTATTTAAAATTTTTTTGTTGTCAGTGGATCTTTATTTTATTTATTTATATGTGGTACTGAGAATCGAACCCAGTGCCTCACATATTCTAGGCAAGTGCTCTGCCACTGAGCCACAATCCCAGCCCTCAAATAGCTTTTTATCTAGCCATAGTTATTCACAGTTCACCAAATATTACTGTCATTGAGAAATAGATGTATGTATTAATTATCAGATTTTACTTTTTGTGTGACATTAATTAGTGCTTTAGAAAAGCAAAGAACTTTAATAAAAGAGCAATATTTCATTTTTATTCAGTGAGTGAAATTAAGTTTACCAGTTCCCCCTAAGGGAAATGGGAAAAAAACAAAACCAACTGGACTAACAGATTGTCCATCAAATTTTGCTTCAGTGATATTTTTTCAGTTTTTTGGCCCATGGTATTTCAGTTTTGGTTTCAAAACCATGAACAGGTTTAGATACTGAAAAATAAGGACTTGTTTTATGCTTTGTGTGTATAGTATGCTTTGATTTTTAAATTTTCCTTTTTCTTTTTTTTTTTTAATATTTTGTAGTTGTAGATGGACACAATACCTTTATTTTATTTACTTATTTTTATGTGGTGTTGAGGATCAAACCCAGTGCCTCACACATGCTAGGCAAGTACTCTGTCACTGAGCCACAACCCCAGCCTGGTGATTTTTTTTTTTTTAATGTAGATACATAAGATTCTTTCCTGATGGCCATGTGATGATGTTGACAACCCCTGAAGAGCCTCAGTCCATTGTTCCGCGTCTAAGAACTAGGAATACCAGGTAGTATTTTTTTGTAACTTTCTATGCAGTTCACATTTTCAGGTTCATGTAAGCTAGTGCTTACATTAATATTGGATTATTAATCCTGGATAATCAAAAAAGCAATCATGGGGGTGGGGAAGACAGTTGTGAAAATACCAGGGCCTCTTCCAAGAGAATATACTTTAGTAGGTTTGGGGGGACTTGGAATCAAGGTTCACTTATAACCTGATTGTCTTTAGGCAAGTTGAGTAAATGCTATTGTAATTCATAACTTCCTAGATTACTTAAATACTCACAGTAACTGATAAATAAAGTGTTGTTTTTATTTTTTAGAACCGATGCAATTCTGCTGGGTCATTATCGCTTGTCACAAGATACAGACAATCAGACCAAAGTATTTGCTGTAATAACTAAGAAAAAAGAAGAAGTGAGTATGCAAGGTGGAATTGAGAATTTTCATTTAACTATTGATTCAAGCATTCTCAGAATAAAGTGCTGTTTTATTATACTACTTCACAAAATATATGGCAACTTAAAGTATCTGAGGGGAGCTGGAGAGTTTCCTTTTTTTAGTCTAGTGATTTTATACATGAAAGGTAAAGCCAAAATCTCCTGTGAAAAAATTAAACCTGAATATATTTTCTGTCTCTTCTCACTTTGAATCATAGAGGTTTTTTCTTTCTAAGTTAGCCATATAGTAAATATAAAGGTATCTTGGAGAGAATTTCAGTTTCTACTAGAAATCTGCTTTCCTTCCTCCTGTTCTTGCAGAAAAAAAAAAAAATGCTAAGCAAATGTGATTACTGATATATTCTGTATTCTAGAGTACTTTAAATTCTCTTAACAGATTGAAGACCTAATTTTTTTTAAATTTTTTATTATTGGTTGTTCAAAACATTACATAGTTCTTGATATATCATATTTCACACTTTGATTCAAGTGGGTTATGAACTCCCATTTTTACCCCGTATACAGATTGCAGAATCACATCAGTTACACATCCATTGATTTACATGTTGCCATACTAGTGTTTGTTGTGCTCCGCTGCCTTTCCTATCCTCTACTGTCCCCCCTCCCCTAGACCTAATTTTTTATACAACTTTCTCCTTATGTATTTTTTTAAATCCTGGTTAAAAAACATAATGTGTATGTAAGAAATCAGTTGGTAGGTAAGTAGAATAAGTATTTGCCTATTGCCTTTGTAAATAGTAGGTTTCGAAAGGAATTTGTTGTATGAAATCCCTCTTCTCTAGCCTCATGTATCAAAATAGGGCAGCATTTCATCTGTGAGTCCTCTCTGCTTGTAACCACCTGTCACTAGCTTCTCTGCCTCCCTGAGAATGCAGGGCAGCAGTCTAAGGAACAGAGATAACTGCTTTGACTACAACCAAGAGTGTTCTGAGGTCAAAATTGGGAATTATAAGACTCTAGTTGAGTAGGCTCTGTCTAATATAAGTGTTTAGGAAATACCATGAAGATTTTCAGTTTTCTTTTATAATGAAACCATTCACAGTGTTTCCATTTTTGTGCTTTAGCGTTTACAAAAGTGTGATTTAATGAACCTTGTCACATCTATTTCTCCATTAAGTTTTACTCTGCACTTTTTCTGCAGCTTGTACCAGTTTATCACATTCTAATAAAATATTCCTAGTGTTTTTTAGTAGAAGGAAGTACTAGGTTTAAGGGATGGTAGTTTAACTTTGGTTAATTTGTTTGACCTCTCTGGATCTTCTTTTCTTCAGCCATTAGTAGAAATAATGCAGTCATGTTTAACACATGGAGTTATTATGATGATGGGGGAAACCTTATATTTTTAGAGTGCCTGCCATTTTTCAAAGAACTTGTACACTTTTATATAAGTGATGCCCAAGACAGCTCTCTATTTTGTGCAAATATTGTTACTTCCAGTGTTACTCTTACATAATATATCACATAAATGTTTATATACAAGTGTAATAGCTTTGTTATTGCTCATGCACCTTTTCTTTTACAGAAACCACTTGACTACAAATATAGATATTTTCGTCGTGTCCCTGTACAAGAAGCAGATCACAGTTTTCATGTGGGGCTACAGCTGTGTTCCAGTGGCCACCAGAGGTTCAACAAACTCATCTGGATCCATCATTCTTGTCACATTACCTACAAGTAGGTGAATGCAATAAAAAGTACCAAAATTAGCATAAATGTATAGTTAATATCCAGCTCAGGAAACTCTTAAATGTTTTCAATTTGCGTAACAAAGCAAAACCACAATGTAATACTACTGCAAACCAAAAAAAAAGGCCAAAATTAAAAAGGCTAAGCCTAAGTGAAGAAGTAGAGCATGCAGAGCACTCTCACAGTGAATTGGTACTACCATCATGGAAATGAAATTGGCATTTTATTACTTACTTATTCATTGACATACTCAAGGCACTTTTAAATTTCCAGATCATTTTTACTCTCCTACAGTTCAGTATTATTTTTTAGAATTCCTTAAGATGAATCAATGGAAATAAAATGAAAAATAATAAGATTTCATGTACTTCAAAGTCAAACATAGTAGGTGACTTGTGTTTAAAGGTCCTTATGAGGTAGGATTTAACCTGTATGGAATAATCAATGAACTGAAGGATGTGTGTGAAAAAGGAGCAGTACAAAAATAAGTTAAATAAAACAAAGGAATTGGAAGTGAAATACCAACTCATGTTGATAAATTAAAGTTAGCAGTGGTAGATTTGAAAGAATATCTGTATATGACTAAGGATTCACCATTCAGATTGAATCAAAAATCCTGAAAGTTTGCAATCTTGACATATTATTGAAAACTTTCCTCGTTACATTTCCACCTTACATATGACTTTTCCCTACTTATTTGGATAAGCTCTGACAACTGAGAATATTTTTCTTTGTATACCTTAGCTACCAGTCCTTTTTGCTTCTGTTTGTAATTTGGTGCAAAGAAAGAAAAGCCATTAAGTAGAACCAAGCTAATACTTATTAGCTATATTTCATGCTTGACCCATAGAAAACTGGGACTAGGTATTTTAGTTTGTTTGTTTTGTTCTGGTTATTGATTGTTTTGATAGTATTGAGGATTAAATACAGGGCCACTTTACCACTGAGCTACATCCTCAGTCCTTTTGAGATAGGGTCTTGCTTGAAGCTGGCTTCAAACTTGCAGTCCTCCTGCCTCTGCCTCTAAAGTAGCTGGGATTGTAGGCAAGTGCCACTGCACTCACTAGGATCTGTTTTTAGGACAAAAAGGATATTATAATAGGTGTTGTTTGAAGCTACTAGTGATCACATTGATTTACTTTAATATTTGCAAAATCACTTAAATTTTCTGCTTATGTCTCTTTTTAGTGGGAACAGTGTAATAAAAGGCTGTGGTAGCATAATTTATCATCTGCTTTTCTTCTTCTTCACCTGTTATTTTTCCGTTGTGGAAGCAAGTATTTTGTTCTAGGAATATAATTTATTTTGAAACATATTTTAACAAGAGTTTTAAATTATCTATATGTATCTTAGAAATTCTCTTAGGAATATTTAGGAATATGTTTGAAGGACATAATAAAAGTACCACATTGTAGGGTACAGTAGCATATACCTATAATCCCAACTACTTATGAGGCTCAGGCAGGAGAATCCCAAGTTTGAAGTGAACTTGGGCAATTGAGTGAGACCCTTTCTTAAGATAAAATGAAAAAGGCTGGGGTTATAGCTCAGTGATAGAACAATTGCCTAGCATGCATGAGACTCTCAGTTCCATCCACTGCACCACACACACACAAAAAAAAACCAAACCATTTTAAGATTGCCAAATACCAAAAACAACCTGAATCTCCAAAAGAAGAATTAAATAAATTGTTCAGACAGGCAGTATAATGTAGAGGAAACAGGATTACTGTTTTACTTTTTCATTACTGTGAGACCAAAATACCTCATAAGAACAACTTAGAGGAGAAAAAGTTTATTTGGGGCTCATGTCTCAGTCCATAGACAGCCAACTTCATTGCTCTGGGCCTGAGGTGCAGCAGCACATCATGGTGGAAGTGCCCAGAGGAGTAATGATGGAGTCAAAAAGCAGAGAGAGGAAGGGGCCTCTGAATGAACAACCTTTCTATGCCATGCCCCCAGTGACCAAACTCTCCAGTCAGACCCCCACCTATCTACAGGTAGCACCCAGTCCATTCAAACAAGGACAGAATGATTATGTTGCAGCTCTCACAATCCAATCATTTTACCTCTAGACATTCCTGTATTAACAGGAGTTTTGGGGGAACACCTTCTCTCCAAACCATAATAATGATGGAGTATGATCCCTCCATAGACAGGTGCTTGGGAAAAGCATGAGAAGTACTTCATATGGGTGGTAGAACAATTAGTAACCTTTATACTTTCCTAAATTTTCTAAATGTTCTACAGTGTGCCTAAGTTACTTAGAACTTACTGAGATAAATTAAAAATTAAAAAGTTAATGATGCATAAAATAAACTCACCCCTACAAACACAGAAGGTTTCTAAAGGAGTTGGAATTTTCCTGTTAGTCAGCTTTTCATCACTATGAGAAATAACTGAGGAGGAAAGATTTATGTTTCAGAGGTTATCAGTCCGTGGTGGGACAGCTCCATTGCCTTGGGCTGAGGTAAGGCAGGGGAAGATTGCTCTCCTCTCGGCAGCCAGGAAGCAGAGAAAGAGAAAAAGGAAGGTTCCAGAGACAAGAAATTTCCTTCCAGGACATGCCTCTAACTAGGCCTCACCTCCTATAGTTTCTGTCACCCTCTATAATGCCATCAGATTGTTCATCAGTGAGTTAACCCACTGATGAGCTCAGACCTCTCATAATTTCAGTCACTTTCCACAAGCTCCACCTTTGAACATTGATGCATTGGTGACCAAGCCTTCAACAAATGAGCCTTTGGGAGATGTTCCGATCCATACCAGTACTAATAATTTTGTGTTTTCTTTCCAGATCAACTGGTGAGACTGCAGTCAGTGCTTTTGAGATTGACAAGATGTACACCCCCTTGTTCTTTGCCAGAGTAAGGAGTTATACTGCTTTCTCGGAAAGACCACTGTAGAGCCTCAAGTCCAGTCCCATCACTGTTGCATGAATAAAAGTATATAGTGCAAAAGAGCACCTAAGTTATAAATGTACATATATATATATATGGAATTGGAACTTATTTTAAATTGTTGGAATTCTTTTAAGAAGAGTATAAATTGATTATTTTTTTTATTTAAAGGGATAGTTGATTCTTGGGGTGTTTTGTTTTGAAATTATAAGTATTATGTTATGAACAACCTTAATAGAGGTTTTAATCGTGTCCTTTTTCAAGCAAATTTCCATCACATAAATTGTCTTCTGCCTGATCATTTTAATATCTAATTGCATCAGGAGAGAGCTTTACCGAATAAGTATTTTATTTCCTGCATGACATAGTGTCTTTGCACTAAGGCTCAAAGTGTGAAAACTTGTTCTGGATTTGTTTGAAACTGTTGAACCAATAAAGATAAATGTTTCTTTCAAGGAAATATATTTCACTAAAAATGTGAGATTATTTAATAAACAGTCCTAGGATAGCCAGCAAAGACTTAAAAAACACTGCCTTATTTCAATATTCATCTTTATATTTAGTTGAAACTATGTTCTGACTTCATCCAGGTACTATACAAGTGTGTGTCAAAGAGTGAATCCCTAAGGACTGGAACTCTTCAACAAGCTCATCTGACTCAAATCTGCTTCCAAATTCATATTGACATTAAAAAAAAAAAGTTCCCACAATTCAGTATGAGGCATTTTAGAGAGTTCATATGTTAAGACTGATTGTGTCCCTGGGTTTTCATCCCCATCATCAATTTTCAAGTTATAAAAGAAAAAAAAAACACATGCCTAAGATAAGGCAGATGTCCATGGTATGACTTTTTTTTTTTTTTTTTTTTTTGAGACAGGGTCTAAGTTGTTGAGTCTGGCCTTGAACTTGGATCTTCCTGCCTCAGTAAGATTACAGATGTGCTCCACATGACTATTTTTGATAAATTAATAGAACATATGATTGGCCCATAGTCATATAGCTAAAAAAAATATATTCTTAAGGAAAGTGGAATTTGAAAAGTCTGGTGTTTTGTAGTTTGTTCCTGGATCAGGTTATCTGTTCCAGGTAATGGACACTGAGTTCAAACAGGGATACTTTTGCAAATGCTAAACCAACTTTCTCTTATTTAGTTTAGAGGTAGAAACAGTAACTTTTTACAAAGTAGATTCTCTCTATACAATATTTTTTTAAAATACCAGAGCAACATACATTTATTTTGAGAAAATGAGAATGCACAAAGAACAAAAAGACAGGCAGTGGAGCAAACAGAAACTAGAAACCCAGATCTGTGAGTTTGTAGCTAGGTCTGTGTGGGCCTGTCTGAGCCTAGCAAGAGCTTGATTGGGCCAAGCAAACCCTGGAAAGTCAGAAAGGAGCATTTTTCCCAGGAGAACAGGTTAGAAAGGCTGGAGAGATACCCATTCTCCCCAGCCCTATGAGTCCTGCAGCCTTGAGGGGATGACAGGGCTGGCTGTAGCAGGTCAGGAGACTAGAAGGTTGGGTGTGAGGGTACTTGGCTCTTGGCTTGCCCACCAGGCCCACCAGCTCTGTCCCTGGCTCCCGCCCCAGTCTACAACACCCACTGGATCAGAGACATGCCAGGTGCTGCACCAGTCTAGCACTCAACTTGGGCCCTCCGGACCTTGAGTCCCCAGTCTCCCAATCCTCAGACCTTGGACCACAGCTCAGCCTACTAGGCCCACAGCTTTACCATTGGCCCATAGCCCTGCAAGCCAGGCTGCCACCTGGCTGCCAGGCCTTTCTGGCCCAGCACACATCTTTGCCACTAGTCCACAGGACCTAGCATCTGCCCCTGATCCACCTGGCCCAGGCCAGCTAGGCCCCTAGGTCATGGCCAGTTGTGTCATTGCCCAGCTGCAGCCCAGCTTGCTTAACACACCAATCCACTACTAGGCCCATCTACCCCAGCTAATGGCTTCACCATTTGTCCTACCCAAACTGATGTCCCAAGAAGGGAAATTGGGAAGTCTTAAACCCCCACCTTCAACTCAATGAGCAACAAAATAAAAAGGAAGGACTCGGCAACCCACATATTGACGCTTAGACCATACCTCAAGAAGAAACAAAAATAAAATCAGCTGGGCATAGTGAACATATACTCACTGACTGTTTTGTCCATGATAGTGGAAATGACTCCTTAATTTCTTAGCATTTCACCAAGATTTTTCCTTTTTTGTTGTTGTTTTGTTTTCCTTTTTGTTTTTGATTTCTATATTGAGTTTTTTATTTGGATGTGTACTGATTGATTCAAACACTTCTGTACATACACATACTTGTTTCTCCTCTTTTCTAGCCCCCCACCCCCTTTTTTTCTTTTTCTGAAGATGTTATTTTCCCATGCTCTTTATTTTGAGGGTTAGGGTTTTTGATTATCATATTTTGTTTTGTATTGTCTTTGCCACTACTCTAACTCCCTTTCTCCCTCTCTTTTTTTCTGTTGCTGACACCTAAATTCCATTTTCTCTCTTTTCTTCTATATTCTACTTTTTCTTCCCCTTTCACATTAACAACATATTCTAAGTTACCACTGTATCTGCCCTATTCATCCTTTGAAATTGTAAACAATTTTCTGATCTCTTCTTCTTTCCTCATCCTCAACTCTATCCTTAACACCTCATAATACTAATTGATGTATATAATGTCTGCCCCTACCACCAATGTCACAGCAATAATTAATACAGCAGAAGTCAGACAACACCTATTGTTTGATTTTGAGCCAAACATAATTCATGACTCTATTGTTTTTACTCATGGAAATGTTGATCCTACTGTTCCTACATAGTGTACCAGTTAACAGTAGACATCAAAATAGCATCTAAGTACCTGTCTACTGCTTTATATTGTTTGCATAGACTGCCGCAGTCTGGCTGGGCACAATCAGGAGCCACTTGTCAAAAGAAACTAACTTTATTTTTAGAACCACACACGCCAAACAAAACAGCCTCTCAGGAAAAACCCTCAGAGCCCCAACTGCCACCACCGGCTTTCCACAAGCCTCTCTCTCCAACACAAGCCTCTCTCTCTCACAAGCCTCTCTCCACCTCCCACAATCCTCCTGCTCTTGAGGCCGATTGGCTGGGTCACGTGGGCGGAGCCAAAAAAGTCCCCCAATGAGCAGCTCCGTGGTCTGAAAGGGCAGGGAAACAGCCCAATGAGCATCACCGCAGAGGAGCCAATCAGCTAGATGTTGCTGGGGGCTGCTGTGAGCCAATCATCAGCCGGCAGCTGGAAGTTTGCTGGGGCCCCTTCGGCTGTGGCTCTCAACAGTAGACTGTTGCTCTTATTGCCCCACCCCATCTGTAAGGTACCAGTAATATAGAGGGATCCTATAAACTCATAAAGTAGAAACTCTACAGCATCAGATCTATCCACATAGTTGGGCAGACCCACAAACAATATGAAAAAGCAAGAGAACAAACCATCCCAAACAACACAGAATACCTCAATGATAGACTCCATTGATACCACAATGGAGGAAATGTCAAGACATGAAATCAGAAAGTTCATGCTTAAACTTATCTATGAGTTAAAAGATGACATAAGAAATGAAATCAAAAAATAAGTGAAAGATCACCTTAATAAGGAAATAGAAATTCTGAAGAAGACTCAGTTGGATACCTTTGAAATGAATCAATAAACTGAACTAAAAATTCATTGGAAAGCATCACCAACAGACAGGACCACTTGGAAGACAGAGTTTCAGGCATTAAAGACAAAATATATAACCTTGAAAATAAAGTTGACCATGGAGAAAAGATGTTAAGAGACCATGAACAGAACGAGAAATATGGGATAAAATGGAAAGACCAAACTTAATATTTACTGGGACAAATGAAGGCTTGGAGATGCAAACTAAAGGATGCACAAATTTTTTCAATGAAATAATATCAGAAAAATTTCCAAACCTTAAGAATGAACTGGAAAACCAAATATAGGAGGTTTATAGGACCCCAAAATATACAAAATTACAACAGACCCAACAGATCAAAAGACATAGACTGGCAGATTGGATTAAAAACCAACACCCAACAGTATGCTGTCCAAGACACTCACCTGATAGGCAAAGACATCCACAGAATGAAGGTTAATAGATGGTCAAAACCATCTCATTCACATAGATCTTATAAACAAGCAGGGGCTTCTATTCTCAGATAAAGTGGACTTCAAGCCAAAGTTAAACAGAAGGGATCAAGAAAGTCATTTCATCCTGCTTAAGAGAATTATACATCAACAAGACATAACAATCATAAATATTTATGCCCCAATGGAGCATCTATGTACATCAAACAAACCCTTCTAATTTTCAAGAATCAAATAGACCACAACACAACAATACCAGGTAACTTTAACATGCCCCTCTCATCACTGGATAGACCTTCCAAACAAAAACTCAATAAATAAGCTATAGAACTAACATACAATTACAGACGTATATACAATATTTTATCCATCATTGACTGAATACACTTTCTTCTCAAGAGCACACAGATTCTTCTCTAGAATAGACCATATCTCAGGTCACAAATTAATTATTAGCAAATACAAATAAATAGATGTAATACCTTGCATTCTATCAGATCATGGTGAATGAAATTAGAAATCAATGATAACATAAAAAAAAAATAGAAGTTGCTGTAACACCTGAAGGCTAAATAATACAATATTGAATGACCAATGGATAGCAGAAGAAATCAGGGATGAAATTTTTAAAAAAAACTTATAGGTAAATAAGAATAGCAACACAACTTATTAAAATCTCTGGGACACTGTGAAGGTAGTTTTAAGAGGAAAGTTCATTGCATTGAGTGCATTATTTAAAGAATAAAAAGTCACCAAATAAATAACCTAACATTACATCTCTAAGTGCTAGAAAAAGAACAAATCAATACCAAAAGCAGTAGAAGACAGGAAATAATTAAAAATCAGAGCTGAAATCAATGAAACTGAAGCAAAAAAAAAAAAAATCCCAAAAATCAATGAAACAAAAAGTCGGTTCTTAAAAAAATCAAATAAAATTGATAAACCATTAACCAGGCTATGAAGAGAAAGAAAACTCAAATTACTAAAATTCATGATGAAAAGGAAATATCATGATGGACACTTTAGAAGTACAAATGATAATCAGAAACTATTTTGAAAATTTATACTTTAATAAAATAGAAAATCTTGAAGACATCAACAAATTTGTAGAGACATGTGACCTACACAAATTGAATCAGGAAGACATAGAAAATTTAAACAGATCAATTTCAGGCAATGAAATTAAAGACACTATCAAAAGCCTACCAACAAAGAAAAGCCAAGGACCAGATGGATTCTCAGCCAAGTTCTACGAGACCATCAAAGAAGACCTTCTCAAATTATTCCATGAAATAGAAAAGGAGGGAACCCTTTCAAACTCATTCTATAAAGCTAGTA